GAGGGAAAATTGAAAAGGTGGGGTTGAGTCGGTGAAGTTGGTGTCCGAGTGGATCGAGGTCACGATAGCTCAAGTGGTAGAGCAGCGGCGTATCTAGCCGAAGGTCGTGGTTTCGAATCCCGCTCGTGACACTGACTTTTTTATCTCAACTAAAAACCTTAATTAGTTTGAGCAAACATTCACACTTTTTTCCGAGGGTATTTCAACTACGAGGTTATATGCAGTGTTGGGCAAAAATTAGTCATTTCTAATGATTAATGATTGATCACTCAGACCGTTAGTCATGATTGGTAGTAAGTGACTAATTTAGTCATTAGTCGCCATACGTGATTGATGATTAATTAGTCATTACTAGTAATTAAATATGAGGCATGACTAATTTAGGCACAATATACTTAGTCATGACTAAATTTCGATAAATCATGTTCAAATGGGTGCTCAAAAAATGAAAAATAAACTTCATCACTTTTAAAAAAATTTCTAACAGAAATTTATTTCATCAAAACGAAAAGCCTTCAACACCTTATTTAACAAAAATCAATCTTCCAATTATAAGTAAAACTCCGTCGTTATGAAAAGCCAAAAAATAATGATAATGATAATAATAATAAAATAAAATAAAAAATCCTATAACAAGCTACGCTTTGAAAAGTAAATATGTTTACATAACCGATCAATGGAAAAAATATTTCTTTGAACTAAAATTTATTCCACCTAAAAGGAGAGATTTCTACATTTGGAAAATACACCATCTAGGGGGTCTTGATTGTAATAAAATAGACATGTAGAATAATTATGTAACTTTGGTTTTCGTTTATGATAACAATTTTTGAAGGTTGGCTTTGAGCACGACTCTCATCTCAAAATTTTTATCCGGAGTCTGTTGGATTTTGGTAAGTTGGTCATAGTAACCAGAGTTGGGCAAAATCAAACTAATTCAATCATGATTAAGAATTTTGATTGAAGTTTAATCATGATTGAATTAGTTAGATTTTTCCCAACTCTGGTTATATGAACCCTCGGGGTGCCGATGTTTTTGAAAAAATGACATATTACACTAATCATTTACACTTTCATTCATTTCACATTTACACTTTAAGGAAATTTCATTATGAAATTTATTCTAACCTCTCTGCTTTACTGCTATTGATAATGATGATGGAAAGCTACATTGTAGCGGGTTTTGGCATTCCACAAGCACAGCAGGTTTTTTATTGCACTTTTCCCATTTCCTTAGTTAAGTTTGCAATTGACTCGATCCTTCTTTTACAAAATAGTTAATTGATTGTGATCCCTGCAATTCTGAGGTAGAGCAGTCTGTTCCCCCAATCGGGGGTGTTTGGCAGGTCCTCTTCTGTCCAGGTTATCTGCTTGTTCATTACCCACAATTTGTACCCAGCCTTTTTTTTCCACCTCCCCGCCGTACCTAAGGGAGACCCCATACCGGCGGACCACGGCCACTAAACTAATTCAAATGGGATGCAAGTTTAGGGGATTTTATTGTGCTTGACGTCTTGCCCTGAAAGGGAAGACCCAAGGAAGAAGGGACATTTTTTTTTCTTATTATTAATTTATCTAATCTAATAGGTCTCCCCCTTTCTGGTTAATCCTTTGAAATACACTTTCTAATAAATACAATATGTTAATTAATAAATAACAATTATGGGTACAAGGAGTAACCAGCCCGGAATTTAAAGTTCACGGAAATGCTAAGATCTAACAGGTAACTTATCATAGGAAGAAAAAAGAAAGTAAGAAAAAAAACTAATCAGGTACTTTATCCACCTGCTATTCTAAAGATGGTGTCAAATTTTGAATATTTTGGGTGAATTCATCGGCAATTTTGGGTCTTACCTTTTAACGCGCTAACGTTTCTAGGGCTGTTGGGCTGTGGTTTTCTACGGCAAAACCATTAATATCAGAGTCCATATTGAAATAACAAGGTGTTCCTTACAGACTCATCAGTGAGTCCCCCTCACGGAAATCTTTAGTAAAAGTCAATACATTTGTAGTATGATTGTGAGAATCAGTTGAAAATTCCTAAAACAGACGGAAAATTTTTTTTCAACAAATTGTGTTCCAATCTATAGGATAAAGAATACAGTTCACCAACTGCTGGCGATTACTATCGAGCTTTATTCACAAAGCTTAAAGCAAAGCCGTGGTTTTCGGAAGGAGGCAGGCAAAAGGAATTCTACTCTACTATTTTCAGAATCAAAACTAACCATGGCCTATGGGGGAGTTATAGGCATAGAATTGGAATAAGCACTTCCCCTAACTGTCCAACATGCGACAGTCCATCAAATCCCAGTCTTCTAATATTAGAATGGCCAGAGTACGATAACCAGAGGAAACAATTATTGGATGATCTGTATAGAGACCCCAGTATAATGGGTCCAATAAATCTTGAAACGCTGTTGGCAAGTAACAACATGAAAGTCTTGGATTTAATTTATAAATTTCTTAAATCAATCAACATTTCCTTTTAACGTCCGGGAGAAGGATAAAAAAAATTTAAATAAAAGAATAAATATTATATGGAAATATTTCCAAAGGAAAAAGCCAAAAAAAAGCCATGATTGTGGGAAGGGTCGACAGCGTCTTGGTTGTAGTAATACTACCGAGATGCTGCGTCCTTTCTAGTATGATCGTATTTATTAGCGTGAGAGGTTATATAAAAATGGACGTGGCTGTCGAGTTATATCGAGTACTACAGGCCCGTCAAATAACCTTAGGTTTAGTTTTATGGATGAGTGGAATTTGTACATACCGTTCGAATGTATTTATTCGCGAGAATGGAAGGAGGTCGGCAGGGTTAGAACCGTCTTAGTTCCAATTCCACTTTAGTTGTAATATTAGGAAACTAGGTTTATTATTATAAATGTGTATTATGAATGTGTTTATATGTAAATGGTCAAATACTTCAGTTTACCACATGTGGAGGGATACAAAGAGAAATGCAACAAAAACCGTAAGGACCGATGTGTAGCCAATTAGAATGACTTTATCAGTAGAAAGTGCAGATTTTTCAAAATGTGAGAAAGATTTAAGCCAGAAACACACTTCCCTGATGCTACGACATGCGACGCTACCCGAATCCAAACTCCGATTTTCCATAAGGTTGCATTACCACCGTGCACATCTACCCGACGCTCTGCGATCCCCACTGTCCAGATTTTCGTCGGGTCGCATCGAATACAGTCGAAGACAAAAGAACCGGACACTCATATTTTTATTCAAACTACATGTATTATTGTCGTTATATTAATTACAACATACTTATTTTAATATAAACCAAATTAACTGTGATTAAAAATTAATTAGTTTTTATTTAAAAAATTAATTTTAATGGTTTGGTAGAAAATTAATCAAAACACCGGAATACGATTTTTTGATATAATGAATTTAACTAACAATTTATTGTACTCGCTTCGGCGGTACATATACTAAAATTGGAACAATTTATTACACGGTTTTGCTCATAAAATTTAATTAACAATTTATTTCATAGTTTTGCTCGTAAAATTACACCATTTTGTAATGTCGGGTAGCATCAGAACAGGACACTCATATTTTTTGTAGTTTATTTCAAACTAAGTACATGTAATTTTGTCGTTATATTAATTACAACATGTTATTTTAATGTAAACCAAATTAAACGAGATCAAAAATGCATAAGTTTTTATAAACATTGTTTAATTATGATGGTTAGGAGTAACTTTATTTAAAACAATTAAGTTTAACAAACAATTTATTAGATGGTTGTGCTCATAAAATTTAACTAACAATTTATTACAAGGTTTTGCTCAAAATAGTGCATTAAGAACAAAAGATGCGTTGCGATTGTGATAGTGATTATTGTGATAAACGCTGTGGACTGTACGCGACGTGTGCTTGCGTCGGATAGATGTGCACACCCCACCAAAACGTGGCAAGGCGTCGGGTAGCATCGGGTAGCGTCGCATGGCGTAGCATCGGGTGTGTTTCTGGCTATACGCGTGGTGCTGACAATGACCGAAGCAGTTAGCCGGCCGGAAAAAAAAAGTGTTCCTTTTTAACAAATTTCATCTTATATTTTGGGTTTGCACAAAATATACTGACCCGTCTATGTGTAATTTGTATAATAATCAGTCTTCCTATCTTCCCCTAGTATATTTTCAATCGAGTTAGGTTTAATAGTGTTTTAAAGCAGATGGGGAGTAGCCATGGCCCATATGAAGTAGATTTCCGAACTGCACTTTGGGTAGCTTTTTGTTAAGTCCACCAGGTTAATGAGCCTTAGGTTATGTTAAGTCTTTTTACTTATGTCCGATGTGTAATATGCCATTAATGGCCACCAGGCAGGAATATTCACCCAGGATTCTTCTTATGGCCATTAGGGAGATTTTACTTTCGTCAACATGTGCTGTCGGTCAGGGTCCCTGGTTTCTTGTCAATGATTATTCCTCTTCTATTGCTATGTTTATTTTCCTGAGAAATGCAATTATAGTGGTTTTTAAAGGGTTTGCTTTCAATGTCTCAGAGCAAACTTTTCAAAAACCACTATAATTGCATTTCTGAAGAAAATAGCTCTACCATGTTGAGTGTTATTTAGCCTGTTCAATTTTGTGGCGAATTTTCGCCAATTTCATCGTTATTAGTCTTGGGTGTTGATTTCGACATCAATTAATTTACTTATAGGTTCGTCTAATCACATTAAACAGCAGAGGCGAAGTACGCCTCCCTGTTGGCACCCTCTCGACTGATATTTTTTCCTGAAACATGTAGGCCTTTAATTTTCTTTTTAGCATAGTTCTTCTCCTTGCGGGTTGATCGTTTTTTTATTTTTTTGAGTTTCAAAGGATGATTACACACTTAAGCAATATAATTCAATTTTTTTTTTTAACTTAACAATTTTAAAGCTTAAGCACTACACTGTTTTACGTGTTATACACGTAATATTTTCAAGCTTTTAATATAAAACCAAAATCATTGAATTGAACACTGCACATATATTTGAGCACTTTATACACAGGTATCATGGAAGAGAGGCGGTGGTCGTGTCGGCCCTTCAAGTCGAGAAACACCCAGTATCAACACCGGGACCGTTTACGCCGCCCCCGGCCCGTCTTCAAACGAGGCCGTCCATCGTGAGCAGACCGCAGCCAAAACCGCATTCTCCCAAGATGAAACTAAGGTGCTTTGCATGTTCAGAATAATCATTAATCATAAATCGTTAGTCGCTTGGGCATCATAGCGATCTTTAAAACAATCTAACACTTTTCTTTTTCCCCCCAGATATCTAAAAAGCGTATTTCCCGTCGTTGAAGAAACAATTCTTTTGGACACGCTTTGTAACTCGGACAATAACGTTACCCACGCCACCGAAAGGCTTTTACACCTAGGATTCAACAAAAAGGACACCCCGCCTCCAAGAGTGTCTCTCAAAAAGAAGGAACAACCTGATGATGTCAGAGAAATTCCTCTTCGTCCTCCTTTTCGGCCAGGGGTTACAAAAACAGAAGAAGAGAAGAAAGAAAGTAATTAATTATAAATCTTTAATACTATTTTATATAACAATTTTCAAACCCAAAGAGCCTAGGTAAGCATAGGAAGTCACTACTGTTTCAACTGTAGTTAATTCAAAATAACAAACGATAGTAATTGAAGGGCACAGTGGAAAAACGATGAGGGTCCATTTTTTGTCAGAATTGAAATTTCACCGGCATCTGTTGGCTTGTAACATTAACTATTAACCCGCCAAATGTTGCTAGGGAAAACCAATTAGATTCCACTAAAAATCGCGTTTGAAAATGGGCAGCACAGTGGAAGAACGATGAGGATCCATCTCTCCGGCATTTAAAAATTCTTCCACAGCAGCCAGAACGCTAATAACTTTTTGTGACTCATTTGCAGAGCAAAATAAAAATTATACATTTCTTAAATTCACTAATGTCGTGGTCTGCTTGACCAATTAATATATTACAATTAATTAAGGTTTTTAGTAGAGATAAAAAAGTCAATGGCACGAGCTGGATTCGAACCCACGATCTTCGGCTAGATACGCCGCGCCGCTGCTCTACCACTTGAGCTATCGTGACCTCGATCCACTCGGACACTTCCCATCTCAACCCAACCTTTTGAATTTTCCCTCCTTTTTGCCATTTTTCAAATGCCGTGTGTCCAATCCGATTACCTCTCAAATGGTAGAGCAGTCAGCAGCGGCGTATCTAGCCGAAGATTGTGGGTTCGAATCCCGCTCGTGCCATTGATTTTTTTATCTCAACTAAAAACCTTAATTAATTCTCCATAGTGGTTCTGCCATTAGTTTGTACATTCTTTGGTGAACTTTTCGCATGGCTGGAATTGAACCGAGGATTTGTTCTCTATTTTCTGATGAATCTACGTATTTTTTTAGCAATTTGGTATGCTGCAAAAGAGTTTTTGATAGGTATCCCCATCGAACTCCCTCATTTCCCTTTTAGCAAAGATGTTGAATTGCCAAAAAAATGGCTGACTGAAAAAATACAAGACCAAAATAATCAAAGTCAATGAAGTAAATAAGTTTTTTTCAATTTTTATGTTATTTTACAGTGAAAAATCATTTGTGCCAAAAATACCCCAATCTGCCTGAAATGGTTATATCCCTTGCAATGGACAGTGCATCGTACAATGAAGAAACCGCTGAGACAATTTTGTCATTGATGCTTGAAGAGAAACCGGTCAAACAAAAGTAAGCATTCATAATTTCCCAATAGATGTCAATAAATACATCGGAATCAACTTTTCTCAGAGAGACAACCGAAGAAGTGTCCGAAGCCCCTAAAATAATAACGGAAGACGCGGAAATTAAGACCGAAGCGGTTCCTATCAGCCCAGTAGCCATTGATGAAAAAAGCTTCAAGAAAAGACAAAAAGGCCGGGTGGATCAGAGGCAAGTATTAATCAAGGAAACACAAATGTGAGTAAATTTTGCACTTTTTATCTATTTTCTTTTATTATTAAATTTCATTTATTACATATTATGTATATACATATTTCAATTACATTTATACGTAATTTTAGATAATAAATTTATTACAATTAATTAAGGTTTTCAGTTGAGATAAAAAAGTCAATGGCACGAGCGGGATTCGAACCCACGATCTTCGGCTTGATACGCCGCTGCTCTACCACTTGAGCTATCGTGACTTCGATCCCCTCGGATTAATTAATTGTAAGATATTAATTGGTCAAGCAGACCACGAAATTAGTGAATTTAATAAATTTATTTTTATTCAAAAAATAATAATTATAAGTTTGTTTTTGAGTTTTTGAGATATATATTAATACAAACAATTTGACTATGAAAAAATGATTATTGAAGTTTAGTCGATACCGATCATTTTGTTCCGCCTATTCTCAATGGGTAGGTCTGTCAGATGCCATCTTCAATATGTCTTGGTCAAAATTCTGGATAATATCGGATCAACCCAACAAAGATAGGCTGACCAAAATGATTTGTAATAAACAAATTTCAGGTTTATCACCCTGCAGACAGCGAGAATGAATCTCATAATTAAATCCTTATAATTTTCAAATGTGTACCTCTTCGTAAATGAATAATTTAGCTAGCTTAATTAATAATTCAGACTATAAAAAAAGTAATAATCACAACTTTTGAAAATAGATTCCTGAAATAAAAGGAAATAAGCCAGATTTAAGGAGAGGCCATCACATTGAGTTTGCTAATCCTGTGAGGGAAAAACCAAGGCCTGAATTATACACATGGGCACCCTTAACAATTCTTTAGAATCAAAAAGTCCTAAAAAAGACATTGATAATAATGATCACACAGTAGAGTTGGTCTAGTGGCTAGAGGTTGGCTAGACTGGCACAATGTGGCAAAGAGACATTACAATCTTAACATTAAATATTAGATTGAAAAATGGCAAAAAGGAGGGAAAATTCAAAAGGTGTGGTTGAGATGGGAGGTTGGTGTCCGAGTGGATCAAGGTCATGATAGCTCAAGTGGTAGAGCAGCGGTGTATCAAGCCGAAGATCGTGGGTTCGAATCCCGCTCGTGCCATTGACTTTTTTTATCTCAACTAAACACCTTAAATAATTGTATTAAATAATAGTTTTCAGGGTTATGATCACTCCCAGATACTTGTACTATTTACAACCTCTAAAAAATAACCAAAAACGTAAAGTGTAATTAATATGGGCTGAAGCGAGGCAGATGATTTGCCAGTATGACCAAATCTGCATACAAGACACTGCCTCCTAAAGCTTCTATCACATCTTTGAAAATGAGGCTGAATAACAGTTGGCTTAAAATGCAACCTTGCTTAACTCCTTTCTCAGTTGAAAAACTTTCCAATTCCACATTCTGCTAAACTCGAGTTACATATTATCAAAGATTATTATTTTTATTTCTTATCATTAATTATTGTCGGGGTATTATTATTTTTAAAAGGGAATATTGTGTTTTATTGGATTTACTTTGTTTAAGGATCCACTTGTATACATTTGCTTATGATTTTTATTAATACTCCCAAGCAAAAAAAAAAAAAATAAAATAATAATAATAATAATAATAATCTCCCTGTCTACACGATTGAATGCAGCCTTAAATAAATTACATCATAGCCTTCCTCTTGTTTGTTTTGGTTTATGTTTAATTATGCTAACGAGATGGGTTATTCCCCCATCTGAGTCTCCGTACAATGTACGATCTGACATACACTGCAACCATATAGGATCGCTCAATGAGCCTGTTACATACAAAATAAAGATACATTTATGCAAAGTAAATGTTTTTTCTAGAGTATTATTTTATTATGCACTTTACAATTTTTTTTCACAAACACAATGTATTATATAGTTTTAACGGATTGTTTCAAACTGGGCCATGATTTTCCTGCTTTTTCTTTTCTCTTCTAATTGTATAAATAAAACTTTAATAAAAACTATGAAATATGAAATTTTCTTATCACTATGTCAGTGTGAATGCTTTAAAGAAGTAACTATATTTTTCTACAATTTATGTTTTGAGCCAGGTTGTATGAAGAAAATCCGCACAAATCTTATCAACATATTTTCTAATTGTCTCCATGGCAGCATAATTATTTGAATATCTTTGTCAAAAATGTAACCATTTTTTGTAAAACTGCATGTATTGGTGATATTGTTTTGTATAAATTATGTTTCATCAACTTTTAAACGTTTTACCAATGAAAAACTTTCATTTTTGTATAGTTTCTCTTCTCATTGTTTGTCATACCACAAAAATCTTGTGCAAAGGCAGGTCTTTTACCAGGAAGATTATCATAAAAATTTAATTATTGTAATATTGGTCTAATATATAGCAAAAGAGCATAAAAAAGTTTATTTTCAAAAATTACTATTAATTAAGGTTTTCAGTTGAGATAAAAAAGTCAATGGCACGAGCGGGATTCGAACCCACGATCTTCAGCTTGATACGCCGCTGCTCTACCACTTGAGCTATCGTGACCTCGAACCACTTGGAAATCAACTTCCCATCTCAAACACACCTTTTGAATTTTCCCTTCTTTTTGCCATTTTTCAAATGTCGTGTAATCTATTTGATTCTCGGCGACAAATGAAATGGCCACGGCTTTAGTGAAGTGATATTTCAGTTTAAACTTATTCAATTCACTAGTTTTGTGGTCCGCTTGACCAATTAACATATTACAATTAATTAAGGTTTTCAATTGTGAAAAAAGTCAATGGCACGAGTGGGATTCGAACCCACGACACCCTTGAAAAATGGCAAAAAGGAGGGAAAATTCAAAAGATGTGGTTGAGATGGGAAGTTGATGTCCGCGTGGATCGAAGTCACGATAGCTCAAGTGGTAGAGCAGCGGCGTATCAAGCCGAAGATCGTGGGTTCGAATCCCGCTCGTACCATTGACTTTTGTATCTCAACTGAAAACCTTAATTAATTGTAATATATTAATTGGTCAAGCGGACCATTAAACTAGTGCATTTTCAAAAATGTTGTATTTATTTTTTTTTCACCATATAAAATGGTTGGTCTGTCAGAATATTTACAGATAGTAGTCTTCATATCAGACCTTTACTGACAAAGCACTGCGTTAATAATTAAAAATTAGAATAATTTAGATTCTACCTTTACTCCTCATCCAAAATCCAAGTAGAATTGATGCACGTCAAGCACAAATAAAATTTCGGTATACCAAATTCCTCATCATCTCCATGCCACACCTTTCCTTCCTTCAAAAGTTAATTAACATGTATACAAATCCAAAAGTAGAAAATCCCCTGGACCTCACCTAATTACCTCCATTATACTTCAACACTTTCTTCAGAAGGCAATGTTGCCATGCCATCATCCACAATAAAATTCCTCCTTTTTTAAAAAAGATAGTTCCTACTCACAGTAAGTTGTCTTCCAACGATCCTTATGATGAGCTAAGGGCTCGAAATCCAGATTGTTGGAAAACAACTTACTGTGAGAAGGAATTATCTTTTTTTAAACAGGATTGACCACCACACTCACTCCATCATTCGTCATTTTTATAACATTCCTCTCTTATGGATGCATTTTGTATTCTCGTTTCCTAAAGTCCCAACACTTATCTTTCCAGTTTACTTCTTCTACTATCCAAAATCCTTCAAACATTTCAAAACTTTAAATATCCATCCTAGATTGACATAAATTCATTCCTTCTTACAAAATCAGATTCCCCAATAATTCCACGATCCAAGGTTTCAGATTTGTTGGCACCATTTCCTCTTTTCTAGAAAATAAATAATAGTTTTTAGGTGTGTTTCTGGATGTCCAGGCTTTCGATTAGATTTGTCACCCAGTCATCCTATATAACCTTAAATGCTTCATACTCACACCTTATTTATTTATCTTGGAATTCTATTTAACAGACCACTGATTTAAAGTGATGTTTAGATATCAGACCAATACAAGCCGGCTCACGTAAGGGTTCATTCTTTGTCCTATCCTATATACCATTTACATTGTTGACCATCCTATAACCTGTCTTCTAACCCAATTCCTATCCAAGCAAACTGCAACATCCTTGAACATCTTGTGTTTATTAAAAACTAGCCTTAAAAAGTGGAGAAGACTGGACAAAGAAAAAAGTATCTAGTGATTTCCACTGTTAATAACAAGGACCTACTGATTTCCACTTAAGCAGAATCCCCACTTAAGACTTAAGAGACAACAAATTGGACAACTAGAAGAGTTTTAGGACTCGAATATATTTTGACCGTGAAAACAACTCAATGTAAGTTGAAGGCATTGAATAAACAGAGTAAAAATGTGGGGTCCAAGCCATCTAATACCAAGCGAACTCAATCCTTTCAGTCAAAAGTCTTTAGAAAAATTGGCAAAGGTTCGTCATAGGTCATTATCATCACTGACCACAATGACCTCAACTTTTTTTGTTTTTCGATTAATTAAGGTTTTTTAGTTGAGTAAAAAAAACAGTTTCATGAGGGGGATTCGAACCAATGACCTTCGGCTAGATTCGCCGCTGCTCTACCACTATTGTGGCTTTGATCCACTCGGAGACTAACTTCCAATCGCAATTCCATCTTTTTGAATTTTTCCTCCTTTTGGCCATTTTTCAAATGTCGTGTAACCTATTTGATTCTCGACGACAAATGAAATATGTCTCTGTGGTCATTTCATTTGTCACCGAGAATCAAATAGATTACACGACATTTGAAAAATGGCAAAAAGGAGGGAAAGTTCAAAAGGTGGGGTTGAGTGGGAGGTTAGTGTCTGAGCGGATCAAGGTCACGATAGCTCAAGTGGTAGAGTAGTGGCGTATCAAGCCGAAGGTCCTGGGTTCGAATCCCGCTCATGACACTGACTTTTTTTATCTCAACTAAAAACCTTAATTAATTGAAAGATATTACTTGGTCAAGCGAATTACAAAAATTAACAATTTTTTGTTTTGTTTATGAACCAATCCAACTTTCAAAGTTTTGTACAAAGCACAAGCCATCTCTACACTTTTCCACCCCAAGTACAATTTTAACAGTTTTTCTAAGTGTTAAGGTTGACTGATTAGTGTTTACTTCATTTTTTTAACGATAATCAATTTTATTCAATAAATCCAAATTTAAATCAATTTGAACATATCCTAGATTAAGCAGTTGGTTGTGCTTTTTTTCAGAGAGGTTAAAGAAGATGCACAGATGAAAAATTGCACTTTTGAATCACCATTGCTAATCAAGCCCAAGGGTCCAAATTCATTGATTTCAAAAGGCCCCAATGAGAGTCTATTGCTGTGAGTTATCAAATAAATAAATAATAGTTTAAGCTAAATGATCTAATAATATAATAAAAATAACCTTTAGGGCAAAAGTTTAAATTTTTGATGTTTTAATAAATTTAAACAATCTTTTTTTGATACGTTTTAACCTGCTAGGTTTTAAGTGTTTAAAACTTTTAATTATTTTATTAACGTATTGTACTTTTTGTTTTATGAATCAGTGAGGACTACGTACCATGGATCGGGCCAAAGAGGAACTTAGCCATGGGTTCGAACAAATCCCTTTGCGTCGGACCAAGAGGTGCCAAAGGACCCGACTTATCAGCGAGGAAAGGTCCTCAAAGCTCTTTGGCCAAAGGAAGCATATATTCCAAGTTTCAAGTTCACCCGGGTACGAGGTGCAACTAGCAAAAGAATGAGGCCATCAGGTCGAGGAGAAGGTCATGGAGCGCACCACCCATCTTACAGCCCTACCATTCTCTCACACTGATGATCGCTAAGGAGAGGCAGTTTGGCAGGAAAATGATAATCATATGATTTGCTCAAACTACAGATTGAATTAATATATTTTTGAGTATGCTGACTTGTCCAGATATAGAGAATATATGATAAAAAAAGCTGCACTTATTCTATCAAAATTTTGATAGGCTAATAATTAAAAATGACATTATTTAGTAAACAAATAATGTGCCAAACTACGTAAAAATTAATATTTAGTGAATAATAATTTGAATTCAAGGAGTTAATTTTTACTTATGAGCTTAAGAAAAATATTCAAAGAAATATAAATTATGTATTAATTGCCAGGTAACCAGAAAAGTTTGTGCATTTAAAGGATTAAGTAATTGTCACAATTTAAATGAGTAAATTCACTAATTTCATGGTCTGCGTGACCAATTAACATATTACTATTAATTAAGGTTTTTAGTTGAGATAAAAAAGTCAATGGCACGAGCGGGATTCGACCCACGATCTTCAGCTTGATACGCCGCAGCTCTACCACTTGAGCTATCGTGACCTCGATCCACTCAGACACTAACCTCCCACTCAACCCCACCTTTTGAACTTTCCCTCCTTTTTGCCATTTTTCAAATGTCGTGTAATCTATTTGATAGATGATTAAAATGAAATATACCTTCACTACAGCTCTCTGTGGCCATTTCATTTGTCGCCGAGAATCAATTACAAGACATTTGAAACAAATGGCAAAAAGGAGGGAAAATTTAAAAGGTGGGGTTGAGATGGGAGGTTGGTGTCTGAATGGATCAAGGTCACGATAGCTCAAGTGGTAGAGCAGCGGCGTATCAAGCCGAAGATTGTGGGTTCGAATCCCGCTCATGCCATTGACTTTTTTATCTCAACTAAAAACCTTAATTAATTTAAATTAGTTTAAAAATATTTTATTCTGGAAAATAGTCTCCATCGACATCTATAAACCTTCTCCCAGTTCTGCCCTTTTTATAAAAATTTGGGGACTTAAAAAATAAATTCAGTTCATTTTTCATCTTTTGGTGATTATTGCCCGATTGTGCGTTTGATTGTCCATTGCTAAGGAAAGGTGAAAGTCAGTTGGGGCCAGGTCAGAAGAGGTATGCGATGGGTGTTGCAGGACTTCCCAACTATTTCATTATTACCTCTGGCTGTGTTATGTTGTCCCAGCAAAAATTGAACTCCTGTTTATAAGAGCAGATCATTTCTGGGCCAGGGCAAAAGATACTCGTTGCTTGAGTAAATTTCTCTGCCGTAATTCGTAGTGCACAATTCCTGCCATACTCCAACAAAAAGCATCAGATTTTGTCCGTGAATATTTGGTTTTCTTGTCAATAAGACATGGTCATTTACAGCCAATGGTACGACCTCATTGTGTTACTGTACAGGATCCATTTTTCGTCGCATATGACAATCTGATCAAAAACGTCTGCTTTGTGCCATGAAAGCAATGAAGGCTGAAACTTGTTACCATCAGCCAATTTATGAAGCTTTCAGCTTTCACGTCTTCCCACATCGCAATGTAAGCTAGAGTGAAAGGTTTAATTGTTTATGTTGAACACTTTGGCATGACATATTTGACTAAAATTAAGTTTTTTAGCTTCGATCAATTCGTTATCTTTCAAGACAGAAGGACCATGGTATCCATATCCTCGTTCTTAGAAGCAAACTTTTTGAACCACTTTTGAGCTGTATGCTCACTTATTGTTTCATCACAGAACGCACCTGCCCTAGTACCAAGCTGAAATTCATATAATAAGCACGCATTAATTATGGGTTTTGAATCCACACAAAAGAAAAAATGAAAAACCGCAGAATCTTTTCTGGTTACCTGATATAAGGAATGAATTTATTGTACCTACAACTAAGAGTTATAGGTTTATAAAAAGAATTTAAAAAAAATTAATTCCTTCAAATTAATAATTTATTGACAAAGCTTTGAATCCTTTAGGCCACCTGCCTTCTAGATCGTAAAAATTCTACTGATCTGATTTTTTCTTCTTATGAAGCCACTGTAGGTACAATAAAAAAAAAAAATGCTGTTTGCAATTATTAAAATTAGATATAACCAAAACTTTAATTAATTTAAGTTTATACAAAATGACCATTTAATATAATATGACATATATATAATATACACACCTTGGTTTTTATAAGGTAAATACCAGAAATAAGTAAATTCAGATCAAATACACAAACTAATTCACTTTCTATGATATCAAAAAAGTGTTATATTTATACGCGTTCATAATAAAAAGTATGTTTGTATTTTTCCTAACTGAATATGTAAGAATTTATATTTTTATGCACACTCTTTTCTAAGCTGGATGACAACGTATTACAAACCTACCGAATAATTGAAACACAAATAATAAGGGTACATGTATAAACAGGTTTATCGGGTTTGGAAAAATATTTAGGCTGTGGTTTATAAAACAAAAAATAAAAAATAAGAAAATACAAATATCTGGTGAAGCTGCATTGTACTTAACACGGCTCGATATTAATTTTTTTTAAGATAAGGACATGATAAATTTAAATCACCATAGGACACATAAAACATTCACCTTGATAGCAGAATTAAAATTTACTTTAAAAATATTAATAAAAATCTAAACTATTGTAGTCACTATCATAATTGTTTTGCCCTTTAGAGATGATGTTTGTTATAAAAATATTAAAAATACCCTGTGTTCAGAAAAAATTCTGTGAAATATAAAATTATCTAGTTGTTGCCAAATTTAAAAAAATTAAATTAAAAATAAATAAATGATGGACTTAGTGCAATATGATCTGTTTTGTTTTATATTAAAGCCTTTAGATATGTTGCAAGGCTTTCAGAATCGCATAAAAGCACTAGTTATCTCAGATTGTTAGTCGTTTTTTTCCCTAAACTAGTCAAATGTTTGCCAAATGTAGTTGTAGAATTTAGCCACACGAGTTGAATGTTTAGTGAGTTATATGTCTTCCTTGATTTCTAAGATCTTCCCAGTTTATGTACGAATATGTTCTATTTTTTATTTTTTAAATCAATTTATGTTGTTATTGTTGTTTTGAATAATTTTATTTTGAAATTTATTAATTCGAAAACCAATTTTTGTTTTTAGAATATATAAAAAAAAGGAATATTGTTTTTAGAATTGTTTTTTGTAGCAAATATGGTGTTAACATATCAAAAATATGACTGAAACATTATTTCGTCTTATGCAACAACCACATGTTTCACTTTTGTTGTACGATTACAAAGAAAATAAATGTCTCTGTCAAGTCATTAAATATTTTGTTTAAAATTTGATTTCTTTGTCATTCCCTAAGAACTTCTTTTTGGTCTGGGTTCAGTTCTAAAAAAAAGTAAGTAAATTAAGTAAAAAGTTTGTTTAATTTAAACAAAAATCTGAAGAATAAGGGTTTCTCATAGTATAATATATAGTGTAATTTACCAAAATTTAAGAAATAATTAAAATCATGCAAAATAATTTTCTTCGGATCTGACCATCCATTTTTTTAAAAATTGTTTTTAGTTAATAATTTTATATATTTAAGGAAGTCATAAAGTAACAGCAAAGAAGTAAGCTGACTTGTTTGAGCCTTGGTTTTTTTTTTTTTTTTTTTTTTTCCTGACTGGCTAGCTGCCTGGGCTATTGCCGGCACCTCACATTTCTTCCACCTCACGTTTTAAAAAATTTTTTACTTTTCATTTTTATTTATATATGCTATTTATTTATTTTTTAATTTAGCTTTTCTGTAGGAAGTCTGGCGATCTTTCTGGTTGTGTTCTGGGACGTTATTTCTACATTTCTAGCCCTCCCACATGTGGTGAGAAGGCTCTGAAACTATCTCATTCACTAACATTCAATCCTAGCCTAGCCTATATGCGGGTTTCAGTGTACATGATATTNGGCTAGCTGCCTGGGCTATTGCCGGCACCTCACATTTCTTCCACCTCACGTTTTAAAAATTTTTTTACTTTTTATTTTTATTTATTTATATATGTTATTTATTTATTTTTTAATTTAGCTTTTCTGTAGGAAGTATGGCGATCTTTCTGGTTGTGTTCTGGGACGTTATTTCTACATTTTTAGCCCTCCCACATGTGGTGAGAAGGCTCTGAAACTATCTCATTCACTAACATTCAATCCTAGCCTAGCCTATATGCGGGTTTCAGTGTACATGATATTCCTCTGAAGACCTGCCCTCGTTCACGCTAATAAATACATCCATACATTATGTACAATTAATCTAAAATATTAACCTAGGTTGGTGTGTTTATATTTGATATTCCCACCCATGCATACACTACTATCGCACTAATAAATACATTCATTGAGCCTTGTTATAATCCTAAAATGTTGGATTGTTCTAATTTGGGACAAAGAATAGTTGAGAACAGTTCAAAGGGAAAGGAGTAGAAACAGTAGTGTACGAAGGGCAGGTTGTAAGTTTAAAAAAGAAGAAAAGGGTGATCAACAATATCAAAGGCTTTAAAAAAGTTGCCAAGGACATAAATGGAGATTTTATATTATTCAGTTGGTGGAATTTTTTAGAACAGCAGATTGTTTTGAAAAGCCAGGTCAGAAGCCTGATTGGAGAAGAGCATGGAGATTTTAGTTCTATATTTTCAAAAAGTTAAGTAAGTCCACAATAGACTTATTTAGGTTATAGTGGAGGAAGGAATTGTATTCTACATCAACCACAAATAAATCATTTGAAAAAAAAATAGGTTAAGTAGGATTAATATTGGGCAAAAATCATAGATTACTTTCATGATTTAGAAGTTTTAGATTTTTATAAGAACAAAATGTAGATATCCAAATAAAAATAGAATGAGAAGGTTATTAAGATAACATATTTTACCTAGTTTTACAGTATTCCATTACACTATGGATGCCATTAAAATCAGTTCCAAGGCAAAATATCATTGATTTAGAATTGTGATGTTTTGGAAAAAAAGAAGCTTTTTATACCATGGTGTACGAGAATGAAAAGAAAAGAAACTAAATGTTTTTACTTACAGAACTGACACTTCTAGCTATCAACAGATGGACAATGGAGTATGTCTATAAGACATATAGACAACTGCCAAGCAATAGCTAGAAAAAGGCCATCGCACCTGGGAGAAGCAATACACAACTAGATACCTTACCTTTAAAAAGCATTCTGTAAATCATTAAAAAATTAAAATCTTCCAGGAAATCCATTAGCAGAGTTTGGACAGAACGGTTGAAAGTTTAA